TAGTGAGGAGAATGAAAGGGGGAAAGAAAAGAGTATAAAATCTGGATACCTAACGTAAAAGTAGCGAACAGAGGGACCGCCAGCAACATTCTGCTTTAACACGCGTGTAAAAATTATACGAGATATACGACGCCGTTACCAGGATTGGAGCTAATTACCACCCAGAAGCGACGTCCGCGCGTATCCCGTGCGGTAATAGTGAATCAGCGTTAGCTGACCTCCTATCGGCGTCCATAGAACCCGACCTCGGCGTCGACCTCGTCGATTTATTCGCCCGTAACGAAGTAAAAAGAGGAATCACGAAGGGGAAAGAAGAGAAGTATAGTAGATGGAGACTCTTATACGGTCAAAGATAATATTCGTAGTCAACGCCGTTCGTCTACCCCTCATCATCGTCGTCGTCGTTGTCATTGTCGTGTGTCGTCGTCATTTATCGACGGCGACGCTTCTCGTGGTGCCCGATCGAGAAGCTATCGGCGGATGCCGTCACTCATGCCGTCTCATCGATTATCCGCAAGTCGAATCTCGCCTCCTTTCATCCCGTCTCTCCCGGGCGACGCGAATGAAACGCTTCGACGGATCGGCGATTAGGGATAATCGCGCGCGGAGTGCCATTCGATTTGTTCGAATGCGCGAGTCTCACGTGTGAATCGTCGCGCGATACCAATCGCGTATTTATCGATGAATAAAATACCTGGGGACGAGGTTCTCAATCGTGAACGTCACGCGCCGAGCTCCTCTTATATATCTGATCTTATTTAATTATTTATTCACGTAAATAAGCAAAGCGAATGTAACAGCCATCAGATACGCGGAGCATCTCACATTGAGCTTCCGATTATACTTTTTGATTAATTGCGGAGCGAGTATTTTCGAGTGAGATTTTCATCGCAAAAACTAAACATATAAAATAAAATCGATAGCGCTGATTTGAGATACTCCGTATAAATCTCATTGAAAAAATAAGACTCACCGTACATCCCAAAAACAGTCGAGAGATATCATTCTGTAAAAAGAAATACAGAATTATATTATAATTATATCATATTAAAATTGTAATGTTATAATTTTCTAATTTTATAACTATATACATAATATAATTAGAATTATATTATATACAAACGTAAATTATACAGCCAAAAATATTAGTTTTATATTCTTTTCATTTGAACATCTGTATTGTTACTTATAATACTTGGGCCTCTATTCTCTGTAACTCTTAACGCAAGTTTCGTTATTGTTATAACATCGTTGCGCAGCTTTTACCTTATGGTAAAAAGAGTTATAGAATAGCCCTGCTGTTATTTATAATTCGATCGTTATACGCATAAGTTTAAAGGATTCTTAAAACAAAGGATAATTTACAACAAATAACACAAATCAATTTTTGAGCTAAAACGTTACATATTAATTAAAAAGGTATCTAATATTTTTTATTATGCTATATTTGCAATCAATATAATTAATTTTTTTCTTTAAATTAATTCTTAAAATTATTGATCAATATATTTTAGAAATACAAGCTTATGTCTTATATTAAAAAAATTCTCTATAAAATTCTATTTTAATGTATGTTTACTTAAATTTGATGTAATAAATTTTATCACTCATTATTCATTATTGCAATATTATGATCATTATAAAATATTGAAAAAAAATTATTAAAATTAATAACTTACTTAATTTTTTAAATATTTAAAATATTAAAATAATTAAAAATAAATATTAAAAATATCGAAAATAAAAATAAATTATATACTCGTAATATAATATTATGAAATAATAATAAATGAATTTTCTTACCAGCCGATGTGTCGTTCCTATTTGCCTTCCTGTGTCCCCTCTGTTCCTTTAGCACTCACAATACAAACCGATCACGAAAAATGTTACAGACACACAGTCAACCGAGACATTCGTATTCTGGTAGAAATTTCATATGGTTTTTTTAGTAATTACTGGATAATTATATTAACTCTATCTAGTCATTGAAAAGTGAAAGTTTAGGAACTCAATCAAGATGCTTTGTTTGCAGCACAAAAGATGTGCAAAATCTGGATCTATTTATTAAAAAAAAAAAAGCAGAACAATAAATAAATTACGCAGTATTGTAACTATTTTTAAACTAATAAATTTACCACTAAATTTAGTATTCTAGAATTTAATTAATTTTTATAGCTAATTCTTACTACTAGTATTTAATAGTATTTAATAATATTTAACTAACTTTTTATGATTAATTTTTTAAATTAATATTTAAAAAAATGATATTTAATATTTTAACTTATTTTTAATTAATAATCTACTAAATACTATAGACAATAAATGGGCAGATATGTAAATTGTATTTTTACCAGAAAAACTATTTCAGGAAGTTAATCATGTATCTTTGTCCCGGAAATATAAAAAGTAAAAATTTTTGTGCGTATATATAAACGTACATACATACATAAAAATTACTGCTTTTTACGTTTCCACTCTAGAGAAAAAGTTACACGATTTGATGATTGCTGCCCAGTCACCAAATAAAACTTATCAAGTTCTTGTCCATTTTCTATACAATATCGTAGTTACAACTAATGAGAATACAGTAAAGCTAGACAATAACTGGATAAGGAAAACTACATACATTTCTACCAGAATAGTTTCACTCCCGATTAATACATTTGCGGTGCATTTCACCGAACAAGTGACGCGTCACACTTTGAGAAGATACACAAAACCACAACGTTCGTTCGTTACTTAACTCGACACACAGTATGCGTTCGCACGTGTGATGTGTCCCGAAAAAGCGGAATTACGACACTCGTCCATACTTAATTCGACCACTCCCGATATTCGACCGTGCACGCGATGCAATGAGCGACGAAACCGCGGTTCACTCACCCGTTAACTCGATTCGACTTCCGACTCCGCGCGGGATGCCACGTAAAAACATCCGAAAGACGTGAATAACTTCACACCTATGCCGAGGCGTCATACTTGTGCTGTCGCGAGTCGACATATCGATCGCTTATCGACTAATTACCGTCATACGCTTCGATTAGTTAATCGATATATCAGGCATTTGCATCGCATGATCACGTGTACGTGAGACACTTTGAACGAGACAAACAACGTGAAAAACGAATGAAGGACGATTGAAATGAAACGCTTGTCTATCGTTCGTCGCAACACTTCCGTGACGCTTATTACGCGAGAGAGTGAGTTCGATTGCCTGCGCTTTCACCCCGGTACAACTTCAGAGCTATTATGCAAGAAGTTATCTATTCACACGGTAAATACAATAAAATATTTATGTGAATCATTTTTTCGAAGTATTTCAGTAAAATATTTTAAAACTATTTTGTAAACATTTGCAAATTTTCCATTAAAACTTTAAAACAATTTTGAAATATCGCATTAAAATATTTTACAAAAATATTTTATTAAATAAATTATATTTTATTAAATAAATTAATTAATTCATGAGAAAAAGAGAGAGAGGAGTGGTGTTAAATTATGATGAATTATTAAAAAATTGATACCGCAACATATAATGTGAATAAATCGCGATGCCTAAATCGCGGAAATATATCGGAAAGAAATATTATAATTATTATGCACTGTAATACTTTATACACCATTACACATACCAAACGAGATATATTTTCTGGGCAACAAAATGTCGAATAAACGTTAGGATATAAAACGAAGTCTTACAGAACGGAAGATTACGTGCGCAGCAATTGAAGCAAAGGGAAAGAAAGAGAGACTTGCTAAAGATTTCCCAAGCGGAGCGGACCGTCGCGCGGCGTCCTTTGCAGAAATTTCGAAACTCGAAAGGAATGCGGTGCGTGATACTTAACGCGCGTCACCCTCCCTAGAGATCCTGGGTGTGTTCGGGGGGGAGAAGAGGAGGCGCTATTCACGCTATAAATGTAAACGCTATCAATGCTGTTCGTGGAGCCAATAGTGTAATGCGGGGTTTACAATAGAAGTCGCAGCGGTCGTAGAGTAAGTCGTAGAAAATTGACTAATTATAGTTAATTATTCTTCTCATATTCGATTGTGATTGATTAATTTTCTATGACTTAAGACTACGACCGCTATGATTTCTATTCTATAAACTCCGTTGGCAAGCTCTATAAACGACTCTAGCATAGCATTAGTAGCATTTAACCAGAGAGATTTAATTAGTATATACCTAGTTTTTGGCACCTTTACTACACACGTTTGATCATTTGTGTCTTCGATTTTTATAAATTTATTAAACAATTTTTATATATATTTTGACATCTTTAGAAAGTATTTGTACAGTTACGTACTCATAACAAATTGCAGATAAATTGTTATAACTAAATATAGTTAATAAAATAAGAAAAATGTATTGTTTCATATAAAAATGTGAAACTCTTTGAAACAAAAATATTTAAAAGAAAAATATAGCTTAAAATTGATATTCCAAACTACAAAAAAAAAATAGTTCCAATGTCGGCTGTCCAAAAGTTTAGTTATTGAGTAACCCGAAAATAATGTTTCTTTAATATGCTCTTTGCTATTTTTTCCATCTTGTTTTTTTGCTTCTTATTCGGTTTTTGTTTTATATCGTCCAAGATAAAAGTTAACGAACTTCGACAAAAACAGAAAACACACATAGCAAGAAATACAATTATTAAACGATTGCAAAAGGGGAAAAAGCAAGAAACAGGAAACAAAGAGCACATTATAGAATTGCTTTAACTCTTAAGCCAAAAACGCAATGAAAAACACAGGCAATAGAAATAGGAAACAAATTTCAACCGATCAGTGCTTTTAATTGTGTTTCCGGTAGTACATCTTAAATATTTTTATGCTAGAACCTTTTCTCGCGATGTTTGATAGTGTATATCATCGACGAAAAATAGCTTGCATAAAAAATAAAAAAGAATCGTTTTCATTACATATTAGGAAATATGTATGGAAAAATAAGGAAATATAAGTATAAAAGTAGAATCAGTTTAAACAACAACGAAAAATTTCTGCAATGATAAGCTTTATTATTCTATAATTATCGGGATTTTTTTTAGCTGTGTGAATAATTTAAAATACGTGATACTTAAAGTGCTGGGAGAAAATTAATCTTCAGCCAATCTAGTCGAACCTTTATCTGTATTTCATATAATGTATCCAGAAGAGATCTGTAAAATAAATATACAAAATTAATCCTTGTGACACGCACATTATTTTTTAATATTAGAATTATCGAGAATTAATATTTGTATATAATTATACTATATATTTTTTTTTAAATAAAGGAGGGAAGTGTTGAATTAACCAATTTAATCATTTACACATTCCAATAAAAGTAACGAAAAGTTTTATAAAATGTGCCATTATGAATTTGAAAAAGGTTACAAATGAAATATTTTGACTGCTTTGCTAATTCTAGTACAAATAATAATTATGACTTATAAATCATCTAAAATTAATTTAACTCTTCAAATTCTTATTATTTTTACCCTTATATTTCTATATGTTATTAAATTTAAATTGTAAAAATTTTAATCGAAAATAAAAATATTGAATATTTTCTTGTTATTTATTTTATATAGAATAAATCGCATTACGTAGTGGCGTTTTATACGATTAATATTACGATTAATTTTTATTACGATTAATTACTATCAACGAAATGAAAATATTATCTATAGAATTAAATTAAATATTATTAATAAATCCGTCAAAGGATCATGATTCTTAATTTAAAAAATATCTACCAGAGTCTACTTTTCTTCTGGTTGCTCGCTATTTCCTCTTCCACCTTCTCTTCTATTCCCTTTTCCACTTCCTCTTCCATTTCCTCTTCCATTTCCTCCTCCATTTTCTCCTGGTCTTCCTCCTCGTCCGCGGTTTTCTGCATGTTGCATTAATAAAGGACTACCTTGATTCATCCTAGCATATTCAGCCATATCAGCGCTTGCTTTCCTTAGTCCTGTTCCCATCTTTAAATAAAAATTATCTCTTTGCAAAAACTATCTGACGAGAGAACGAAAAAATTTTTCATATTCATGTGCAAAATGTAAATTGAAAAACCTGTAAAATTTTTCTGACATAATTCCGTGAGAAATTACAAAACATTCAGTCATACTCACTTCATTCATTTGGTCTTCTTGGGAATCGGCGAACTGAAAAAACAGTTGAATGCTTTGTTATAAATATGATCACATTAGGTGATATTAATATAACAAAATATTAGTAATGCTATAATTATGTAACTTTAAATAATCGATATTATTCCGCGAAATAAATCGAGTGCTACGAAAAATGTGCTTTTCAAAAATTATTTCAATAGCATCATTAAAAAAATATGTTATTTATGTTTGCTTTCTGCTTTCGATAATAATATATCCCTATGTGTTTACCTTCTCTTCATGTTTTCCATGATATTTATTAGAAAAGATATATCATAAAAATTTTTTAAATATTTATTGATATATAATCCATTTTGTATGTAATGGGAAAGAAGAATGTTTCTAAAAAGAGCCGGTTTTTACCCAAAATGGTATAAATAAAAAGAATAATGTTTTTTTGTGGATTTTGACCTCCTGAATACGATGAAATTGTCAAAAAGTCTGTTTAGGGAACCCTTCGAAAATTAAACACTAGTATGATATTTATTCAAATTTCAATAGTTTTGTTTAATTTTCGAGCTGTTCTTCAAGTGTCATGAAATTTTTAACAACTTTATTACTATAATTTAGGGTCAAAAATTGGCCCTTTTTTAATATTCTCTGAATAACAAAAAATATTAAATCTTTTTATAAATCTCAATTTTTGATCGATGCCTAAAAAGATGTAAATAAAGAAAATAGTTTTATAAATTTTAACACTTCCTAGATATGCTAAAATTATTAAAAAATTAATAATATTTATTAGGGAATATCTCAAAAATTAGTATAAAGTAAGAATACTGAAATTTAGATAAATATACCATATCCGTATCCAATTTCCAAAGCGTTCCTCAAACACTACGAATTTTTAATAATATAATTCTATCGTATTCAGAAGATCAAAATCTACAAAAAATATTGTTCCTTGCTTACACCATTTTAGATAGAAATCGAATTCTTTTCAACATCCATTTTTCATATCGATCTTAATTGAGATTTTAATTTATATTTTAAAACGCGAATTCGTATATTTAATTTCTAATATTCATATTGTATTAATACATTAATAATACGTGCAATTTACATTGGTTCATTTTAAGACTATACATGAGCTATTATTAACTTCTTACCATCGCCACGCAAAGCAACGTAATAAGGAACAGCTTAATCATCGTGATTCGCTTTGAAGCTCAAACATACACTAGTTGGATCAGTGCAAATGTTCTTCGCTTTTATATAGATCCCATAATCCGTGACATGATTATGTGTCTATTCACGGAAAAAGGCAACAGATCCACGTGTATCCTTCCTACTTATAATAATAATGATACTTCCGATTGTTACTATGACTTTTGTTTGCACAATTAGCGACAGGATTTGACGCAAAACTTATTAAGTTAAACAATAATGCTATTATAATGTTTCCCTTCTGCAATAATACGCGTATTTTTCACGATAAAACTAAATCATAGATCTTGTCGCTTTGCTTCCTCATTGTTTATTATTTTTACCGACTATCACCTATGTGACGGTTTTAATTTTATATATATACATATATATATATATGTATATATATATATGTATGTATATATGTATATATGTAAATACAGCTTGATATTCTTCAAAAATGTTTGTGTGTTATATTGCATGTTTAATTACTTTAATGATTTCAATAAATCTTTAGAAAATCATATCTAAAGATAACTTTCATAAAGTTGAATATTTTTCCATTTTTTTTTAATGAACCTCAGACATGTTACGACTTTTTTGGCTATATTATCCTGGCTTTGATGATATCTTACTTTTAATGAGACTGTAAATATTATTTCGTGACACGAGATCCAAGGTCTTGCAATTTTAGTGTAACTATAATGATAAGTGTGATATAAGCAGTCTAAATGACAATAGTTAAAATTAAAAAAAAGGAACATAAAAGCTAAACAAGATCTTTGTCCAAGTTATCTATTAAACATATCTTCATATAAATACATAAAAGTTTTGATTTTCTCATTTGGTCATCTTCAGTATATTTTTTGCAACATTAAAAAATAGTTTCATTTTACCTTCGACTACATGAGAAGTCATTTGGACCCGGATGAAAATTTTAGTTAATCTTTATTCTTGTACGGTTAATATCGCAAAGTTCAAGTGAGTAGGTAAAAAACTTGGAATTTTCCTGTGTCGATCGCTGCGAGATGCGGCTGTTTAATTATCACTATGATGCTGATTGTGATACAATAAAATTTGGCTTGGGTGACTTGGACTTGTCAAATGTAATGTTAACAGATTTTTGCCAAAAGTAAATATTCATTAATGACTGTTTATTAGTAGCTATATTCAAGTATATGTGCTATTAGAATTAAAACATATATTTAAAACATTTATTTTCAGAAATAGCATTTATGCGGGAGAGACATCTTGTCGAAATAATCGATTTATTTTCTCGGAACTATAAAATCATAAGTAATGTCGAAAGAAATTATTATATATTTAATATATTCGAAATATTTTTTTATTTTCAATTATGAAAATATTGATATCGTTTTTCCGAATATGTATAAAAATACCCCCAATTTACTTATATAAATAATTACATTTTTTGGAATATGTTAATATAACGTATTTTTTTCTTATAGTTTACATTTTCTTCTTTTCAAAACAATACTTATTTTTACTTGTATCTCTTTTTATCATAAAGATATTATTTTTAACAAAACTAATTTCTGCATTTTTTCACAAATTATTTTTGACATAACTTTTTAATTATTATCAATACCTTTTTATGTTTTGATATTTCGATTCTATACATTCTGACATTTCATTAAAAAAAAATTTTTTTCTTTGAGATTTGTGATAATCTAGACTCTAGAGCCAGTAAAAAATGACATGAATGATTAGGATACAGACCTGTTAATTAAGACTCTCAAATAAAATATACAGTTGTAGGTTATAAAATCGTTAAATAAATTTAGAATATAATATAGAATGAATTATCTCAAGTGTCAAACTCTAATGTCCTAGATATTACGTTGATAGTTAACAATGAAAGAATCACATTTGTCTTGTACAAAAAATCAACGAACTTAGGCATCTCAAGATTGGAAATTAAGGCCTGCGTACGAATCAAATATAATTCTTTTATAATCAGCTATTAATGTAACATCTAGAGTTTGACGCTTAAGATAGTTTCTTTGTAATATAAGATATACTCAATAATAAGATTTTATTAGGACCGACATGAAATCAAACACTCAAGTATAAGCATATTCAAGTCTATGACGATTAAAGCTAGATCTTTCAAATGCCCAAATAATTCACAATAAATTATCTATATCCTGTATATGTACATGCATATATATCATATTTTTGTAGTTATTCAAAACTACGCGCCGAAATTTTTCCGGATTTTATCAAACGCAATTAAACTACTACAATAATATCACAAGTTAAATTAAATTGACAAGCAAATTATTTTTCGCAATAAATTTATTTAAAGTTTTTCAGCACATCCTTATAATATGATATCGGATTAAAGATTTAGAATTTGCTTGTCAATTTAATTTAACTATGCAATATATTTATTATTGCAATAGTTTAATTGCGTTTGATAAAGTCCGGAAAAATTTCGGCGCGCAGTTTTGAATAACTAATATATGATATATATATGCATGTACATATGTATATAGGATATAGATAATTCACTGTAAATTATTTGGGCATTTGGCAGATCTAGCTTTGACCGTCATTGAATATGCTTATACTTGAGTATAAGATATACATATATAAGTATAATAGAGCGAATATCAAATATACTGTGTGATTCAATGGCAGAGTCGCTGCCAATTAAAAAAGATTCGGAGATTGATAGCAAGCTTCGGTATAAATCCCGGTAATATCAGGAATACCTTGATATTCTTTTCGTGTCGTTGCTTACAGTAATTACGGTTTTATATTTATTTAACGATTTTAATATAACCATTTTTTAAATGCTCGCACGGAGTGCAAGAGATCCAAGTTCGACTCCCAGCCGAGATAATATTTTTCGCAATAAATAAAGTTATTTACAGATTTCTATCATATTAAGATCTCTAATAATTGTCTATATTGAGCATCAAAAATTTAATTGTGATTATTTCGATAGTTTAGCTGCGTTTCAAGTCCGGAGAAATTTCAACGCGTAGTTCAAATAACTACAATATGATATACATGTATATATAATATGTATGTACACATATATACGATATAATATATATCAATTCACTTTGAATTAATTAAGCATTAAAAAGACCTAGCTTAGACCGTTATGGCCAGGTTTTCCTATTTCCTACTTGATGAATTTTATTTTTAAAATACTGTGAAAAACATACTAGAAACTAAATAAAAAGGTCAAAACGTTTATGTAGGAGATACCGGGACTTACTAATAGAAGAGGCAAGTTAACATTGCATTTTGGTTATCTATTTATGGCGAAAGACACAATGGGAAAGTTATCGCAAAATATGGTAAATATATAGTTTAGGGGAGCTTCCCCCCCCCCCGCTCCCATAATCTTGCCCTCGACGTTGGCAAGATCATGACCCTGAATAATCTTGAGAAAGTTTTAACCGTCGGACGTCACTCGTTAAAAAGTTACAATACAGTAAAACAAAAGTTAAAACAAAAGAAGAAATAACGTTATATTTCTGCTATATAAAATGAAAATTTTGATTCTTATCCCATTTTCCTCTCTGCTTGAGAGCGCACGACTTTCACCTAAAGCGACCACGTTGCAAGTGACCACGTTGCGATTGACCACGGTACAAATGGATACATAATAACCTATCTATAGGTATATAGTAACCTAACCCTAACCCAATCATGTACCATCCCCTCTCCCCCTGATTGGGGGCGCACGTCTTTTATATTTTCTTAAATATTTTCTTAAATAATTTTTGTTCTTAGAGCAGAAATTTGTTTTCTGCTTTTCTCTGAATACATTCTATAACGAGCACATACTCTCCATAAACACTGTACCTTTCCCAACCTTTCCCAACAAAGAAAGAACTCGTTTTACATTATCTTGTTATGGAATGTATGCAGAGTAAAGCAGGAAAAAATTTTCTGTTCTAAGAACAAAAATTATATTAAAAAATATGAAAGTCGCTCTCAAGCAGGGGGGGGGGAGGTGGTAAAAGTCGTTTCGCGTGGAAAGTTGTAAAAAATACTTTAAAGCAGAAAATTTCTATTTTATATAGTAAAAAAGAGATATCACATACGTTATTTTTTAACTTCTTTTGTTTATAACTTTTTAACGAATGATGTCCGATGGATAAAACTTTCTTAGGGCCTGACAACATATGTCAAGATCAAGATCATGTGGGGGAGGGGGCTTCCCTACATATTTACCAAAAATATTTTTTTTATAATATAAGCACTTTTTCCTAAATTTCATATAAATCAAACAAGTTACAATGAAAAAAAAGGGAAAATCAAGAGGAGGCAAGTATAGGACTGTGGGTAAAATTATCGAATTTTAGCCTAAATGATGAAATCTTTATGCATATTTTTTTGTATTCTTAGATGTGCTGAATTATTTGCAAACGTTTATTTCAATTTGATCTGATGGGAACATGTTGAAAATCGCACTAAAAGTAGCACAATTTCGTTGAAATTTGATCTTTGATTGCAATTTTCAATATTTTTTCATTTTAGATTAAAATTAACGTTTACAAATGATTCAGTACATCAAAGCAAACAAAAAAACATGCATAAGAAAGGTTCAATTGCTTTGGTTAAAACTGACCTATTTCATTCATTGTTCAAGATATTAAATAAAACAATCAATTTTAGCCTAAACAATGGAATTTTGTTATGTACTTTTTTTTATATTTTTTGATGTGCTGAATCATTTGCAAATATTAATATCCAGCTAAACTGATGGAAAAATATTGAAATTTGCAATTAAAGGTCAGATTTCAACAAAATTATATTTCTTTTAATATTTTAAATGCAGTTTTCAACATGTTCTCATCAAATCAGTTTGAAACATTTGCAAACAATTCAGCACATTAAAAAATACAAGAAAATATATATAACGAAGATCCATCATCCATTTAGACCAAAATCCAATAATTTTACTCATCCTCCTTTTTGAGCATTTCATAATTTCGTATTAAAGTCCTTCGGTTTGAGAAAGCAAATCTAAGTGATGTATTATTAGTTACAGGAAAAGTATTTGTTAATATACGATACATTATTTTGAATAACAATGATCATTTATTATAATAAAAATCATAGAGATAATTTACATTGCACGTAATGTATACCAAATTACATATCGGGGAAATTGACTATAATGTAACATATTCGTATTACATTTATCGCAAAGAAATTATACAGTGTATAGAATCATTACTGGAAATGTAATTACTATGAAAATGTAGATAAAGGTTCTCACTATCATATTAGTATATTTTAATCATAATAATTAATTGTTAAAAAAATCTAATGCCGAAATTGTGAAAACTGTGCCAATAAGCTCTGATCTCCCTTATACTGCAGTATATGAATAATAAAAATTTGTTTAATAGATAACTTGCACAAAGATTACGTATTTGTCTTTTATGCTCTCTTAATTTTAACTATGGATTTTGTTAAAAAGTTTCAATTTTTACTATTTTCTATTATATTAAGATCTCTCTTAGCAAATAGCGCGCAACATTATTAGCAGAATTAATTAAGGAACTATTATTATGAATTTCGATTAATCTGTAGTATTTTCAAGGCATGCTTTCAACGTTCTATTGTATAATACACTTAAATTAATATACTAATTTATGAGAAAGAGAGAGATATTGCCTCCTATTTACGTAATTTTCTGCATTTTAATTCAGCGTTTCACTCCCCGCCCTCCCATTGACACTCGCTATTAAAATAACTTATCCATTCTCTGTTATCGCTCTGTCAAAATCCGTGCAACCTTTTCCTATGCTTCGATTAAGTTTTATAATATGCTCCCTCCGTTACAAACTCCCCTTCTCTGGCTTCTTTTCACTCGGCTGCTGCTGGTTACATTGCATCTCTCACATCTTTGTGAGTCGATCGATATCACTGATCGTTTTTCACCTGTCGCAAATTACTTGACGTCCGCGCGAATACGTGGCATTATATTTTAACTCGATGAATGTAAATGTAACTGTATATGTGATTTCTATTGCAAATGTGAATGTAAATGTTAGTATGATGTTAATGATATACTTGTCTCATATATTATGTGATATATGGCGCTTAAGATTTTTCTATCTGTTTTATTCGCTTGTTACTATATTGTTATCTACTGGCTGGCTTTGTAACAGCAGTCTTACTAGTGCCCTGCCATTTGCTGCATGTATTTGTATTGCAATAAAAGATAATAATAATAATAATAATAATAATAATAAGAGTGCCAAAAACCATTATGTATATTGAAGGTTAATATTAACAGGCGATCGCGAACATTTATGAGAAGAGTGATGATTTGTTCCTTCGAACTGTTAGAAAAGAAAAAATAACGAAACCAGGATTCTTAGCATCATTTTTCTGCAACTGCTCTCACACTAAGACCATTAGACCGGTTCTGCATTGGTCGTATCACGTAGGCGTCGCAGATCGCAAATGATCTTGTTGTGTCCGATGCGTCAATTTCAAAGTCGCATGACGCTTAGGACGTTGCGACGCTACGATACGACCAATGTAGAATTGGCCTTATGTCCATGGCTGCTGTATTTTTCTCATAATTATTCCGATCGTCTATCAATACTTGATTGAATACGTAATCCTGCAGATTTCGGTGAAAATAACATGACAGTCGAAATGTCAGCATTTGTGATAGTGTAATATGTCGAGTCGAGTGAACATCACGATGATCTTGGTACTAACGCACATGTAATTTCCAATTGCGTCTCGTGATTCTGTGTAAAATTCTTATAAGAGATCTGTTTTTCGTGATTAAACTAGTGTCCACTTTTAGAAGTGAGATAAATACACTGAGAATCCCATTTGGTTGAATCAATTAATCTCTTGTTGGGATATATAGGCAAACAAATTCTTGGTTGATACAATAAAATAATTTGGTTGAAGCAAGAGTTTATTGTAACATTTTATATATTTCTGATTACGTGATAAAATGTCTGATATTTGGCGAAAACGGGAAAGAAAGTTCTAGGGCAGTCTAGAGCAAGAATAAAAGACGGATCTCTATTGTGTATCATGATATTTATGATCAACATCTAACACAATCCGACACAACTTGTTGGATTGGAGTATTTGGAGCGCCAAAGAAATCGGATCAAGCTAATTGAATGCTCGATGGAACGAATGACAATACAAAATGGTAATGCAGCATTGATAGATAACAGAATTTATATCTACCTTTTTATGCATCGATTTACGTCGATTTACATGCAGCAACCATCGCGTGAGGTTACGCATAAAGTCGAAGCGCATAATTAAACATCTTTTTTTCTCCAATGCGTAATATATTCGTTAATGTCAATAAGAATTTTAATGAAAATCTGTATCTTCGGCAAGATTACGTGACAATTAAAGCATATTATCGCACGTTATTTAGACGAAAAATTATCTCAAACAAGGGCACGAATTAAGACTGCGGCACATAGAAAAACTAAAGACGTAAGACTTAAGTAGTAAATGAATCGATCAATCACAGAACAGACCATAAGACTATAATGTGACCAGTAGTGAATCCAACATGTTGATTTCCTTAGGGCGGTTTCATCGACGTCAGTTACTTAATCGGCCAATTAACGTTAACTGACCAATCGCATTTGCTGTTTAGTAGAATTGACCAACTACGGTTGACAGTCAATCTCGATTAATCGGCATTAGTGAAACCGGCCCTTACTGCTTAAGTCTTAGTCATTATATGCCAGGGCTTTTACTTTTCTCGCGATGTTCGATAGTTATATTATCGACTGTAAAATGAACAAGATAATTAGGATCTATATTAATTAGGATCTGCTCTATAAATAATTTATATAAAGAATAAAAAGGAATCGTTTTCATATAGAAAATAAATATGAGGAAATTAGGAAATATAAATACAAACGGAGAAACGGTTTAAATAATAATAAAAAATTTACTGCAGTGACAAACTTTATTATTCTAAAATATTCGGTGTTTTTTTTTAGCCGTGCGAATAATTAAAAACAAGTGATATCTATATTGCTGAGGAAACTTTAGCCGTTAATCTTTATCTGTATTTTGTGACGATACCAGCAGAGACCTGCGAAATAAATATACAAAATTAATCTTTGTGTCACGCACATTTTTTAATATTAGAATTATTGAGAATTAGGTAATATCTGTATATAATTATGCTATAATGCTTTTTTAAAAAATAAAGAAAAGTGCATTGACTAATTTAATAACTTATATATTCCAACAAAAATAACAAAAATTTTAGAAAATGTACCATTATAAATTTGATAAAAATTACAAACCAATTATTTTGTCTGCTTTGCTAGTTTTAGTCTAAATAATAATTCTATTTATAATTTATAAGTCATCTAAAGTCGATTTAACTCTTTAAAGTCTTATTATTTTTATCCTCATATTTCTATATAAATTTATATTTTTATACATTATTAAATTTAAATTAGAGGCGTGCGAATTAAGCATTTACAAAGACGGATCGAATCGAATCAAATCTATAACATGTTCAAAAATGAATCGAATCAAATCAAATTTTTACTGACATCAGCTAAAAACAATTAAATACTAAAAAATTTATTTTAAATGTACAAGTGTAAAAAATTGAAAAATTAATAATATGTTATAAATGTATTAAAAACAATATTTTGGTAATATCTGTATGTTGAAAATGAGTTGATAATAATGAGAGAGAGGGACCGTGGAAGACGGTCAATCTCCCTATCATTCTCTCTTACACCATTGAATGAAAAAAAGATAAAAATGATTGTCTTCCATAGTCCCTCTCTCTTACTTTTATCGACCATTTTTGACACACGGATCGCGCAGTCCATTCTGTATGTACTTGGTGTATATCGAAACACGGCCATAAATTGCGCAGTCATATCAAAAAGATGAAAATATCTAATAGAGTCCAATGATAACTGACGCGATGAATAAGTGCATGCGCATGCTCGAAGATTGATATGCACTGATATAAGATTGGTGACAAGAGATACAGGGAAGATAGAGCAAGAGGCGAGTGATTCAAAATCGAACTGATGATTCGAAATTTCAAACTTATCGGTTTCGAATCTTTCAGATCCGAAAACGAATCGAATCGAATCACAGTGGATTCCATTCAAATTCGAACTAATTCGCACACCTTTAATTTTAAATCGTAAAAATTTTAATTAAAATTAAAAATAGTGGATATTTTTTTGTTGTTTATTTTATATAGAATAAATCGCGTTATGTGGCATTTTATACGATTAATATTAAGTACGATTAATTATTATCAATACAATAAAAATATTATCTATAGAATTGAATTAAATATTATTAATGAATCCGTCAAAGAATCGTGATTTTTAATTTGAAAAATGTTTACTAGAATTTTCTATTTTTCCACTTGCCTTTGATTATTCGGTCCTAATCTGTTTCTTTCCTCTCCCCGTCACACAATATCCCCGAACTCATCCCGTCCCTAATCTCGTCCTTCTCCCTGCAGTCCTCCTCCCTGTATTAATCCTCCCTGTGGTCCTCCATTTCCCGATGGTGGTCTATTCGGTGGTCCTCCCTGTAGTCCTCCTCCCTGTATTAATCCTCCCTGTTGTCCATTTCCCGATCCTCTTCCTGGTGATT